ACTGCACTGCCCAGTCTCAGACCATGGCCAGCACGAAGGAATGGGCGGCAGGGATCAGTTCCTCATTGCTGGCTTACCACCACACTTAAGGCCCGTGGCAGGGCCCAGGTTTTGGCAGGCACGTAGGTCTGGCATCATTCCCAAGTCAGTTCTGGGATTAACCACACTGGGTCACACACTGGAGTCCCCGTGAGCCCTCGTGGGCCAGGGCAATCCAAGGACAGTAATGAATGCCCACAGACCCTTCACTTCTCAGTGATACCTTGTCACTCCAAACCACAGGTGGAGTAGCTCTGCTCAGGCTCAGGGCCTCAAATGCTCTGCTGTGTAAGGACCAGCACTGCTCCAGAAAAGCTCTGTGTAAAGTCATTCTGGGTACACTCAGCAGTATTTGTGAGCTGTCTGTGTGAGAAGTTTTGTTCACAAACATCCCTCTTGCTTAGTCTGATGCTCTTAAGCACTGTTTCGATCAAAAGCACATCAGAGGCCTCAGTCAGACAGGGCTGGATAAACAGAATCCATCCATCCATCCACAACGGAGACTGTGTAAATTGCCCTTTCCCCATCTTGGAGTCTGGAGTGCAGACAGATGTTCTTTTCTTCCAGAAAGTGAGGTTATGAAATCCTTAGATGACATTGCCTCCTCTTGCCTGTTTGACCAATGGCCGGTCAGAGTGACAGAGGTAACAGGGCATTGAATACATCTCTCTCGGCAATCAGGCTCATGGGAGCTGTGTAAGCCAAGTTCTGCAGGCTGCAGAATGTCTGTACCCTGTGCATACCTGTTGGAAAGCCCTGCTTTTTAGCCATCCCTTCACATTTTATAGGTGGTGGGTAACAGGGCTGATGATAGCATGGCACAGAGTGTCCCTAGAGAAAACTGGGCCGACTAGTGTAAAACATTCTTCTTCATTTCCCTGACACAGTCGTGGCATTAATGCCCAAGTTTCTGTGAAGAACATCTGGCGTCATTATTAATGCAGATATTTAAATGTTGGGTTTTTTTCAGGGATACTCCAAAATTTCTTTTTTGACTTCCACCCTCAGCTTAAGTGATTAAAAGGTTGGGACATCTCAGATGTCTACAGTTCCCTGAATGTAGGGAAGGAGCTGATAAAGGCAAAGCTAAGCTCAAAACAGGGGCTGAGATGTGAAGGGGCCAACACAGAAAACTCCCTGCACATACTTTCTGCTGGAGATTTATGGAAGAGTCTCTGAACTCCTCCATCTGACCATTTGACCAATGGACATGTTCTTGTGATGCCCAGCCTCACCTTTTCACCCACAAGACCTGCACTGTTGTCACTGGGTAAATTGCTAATATAGGGGCAATCCAGTTTCCTGCTCTGCCTGGCACCCTTGGAGTCCCCCACTCTCTCTCTGCTCCACAGAGCCAGGGCACAAGCACCACTCCTGCCTGGGGACACTGTGACACCTGCACCACAGAGAGACTGCTGAGGCATCTCCTGCTGGTGCCCATCTGCCCGGTAACCCTGTTTATTGGCTTTCCCTGTGCAGCACAGTGCCTCTGTCCTTACAGTGCAGTGCACACCAATAACATGTACTGTGATTCTTTAATTCAGTACCTGTTTGGGCTGAGATCAGCCTGACACAGCACCAGGTTGATGAGATGGATGAATACATTTGACATTGGCTTTGGCATGAAGGAAGGCTGTGTCCCACACATGGAAGCACCAACAATTCACTGGAAGCAGATCCATTTGGACACAGCCTGAACAAGGAAAGTAGGATTCCTTTTTCTTTCACCAGGACAAAGCAAACCCCATCCTTTTGAACACCCTAGCAGCTGTGTCCTGACCTGGTGAGGCAGGCAGAGGGGGACTGCCCATCATGCTGAGGCATCCCCAATCCTGTTACACTAAGCTAAATTGAAGATCTAAATTGGTCATCCTTTTTGGGGCCTGGCATCATAATTGGTGGAGTATGACCTTTGGAGTATCAGGAGAAGAAGGGTTCAGGAAATGGGTTAATTACAGTGCTTCTCTTTGGAGAGATTTCTAGGAGGCTGATGCCATTACCTTTCAGCTGCACTTGAGCTCCTGCTGCTTTGCAGGGCTCATGAACAAAGCCATGGAGAATGTCCCTGCCACGAGCAGCACGATCTATTTGTGAGGAGAGACACAAAAGGACACATGTTCATATACACCTGTCAAACATGCACCTGTGATACACTCACACAAGTCTGGTTGCACACAAGAGCACCAGACATGAACACATGTAGGAACACACCCTACTGTGAACTCTTCTGAGGACACCAGGAGACAGCCACAGCAGGGCTGGAGCCTTGTGGGGAAGGGCAAGGCCCCAGGCAAGCTCATGGCATTGTTTGTGTACTCACAGACTGCTCAGAGAGTGGACAAGTCAAAACAAGCCAGAAGTTTTTCCTGAGGGCAGAGTTAGGTAGGATGGGGTCAGACCCTGCACACGTATGGGGAGACAACAACAAATCACCATCAGGGTGAACTGAGGAGGGAGGGATAGGGAAGGACATGGCCTATCCTTATGCATGGGAGTCCTGGGCATCCAGCAGCAGACTGGATTTTTGAGGAGGCAATACAAAAGGCCCAGGGAATCACAGACTGGTAAACCTCATCTCTCTGTGCCTGGGGAGATCATGGGGCAGATCCTCATGAAAGCAACTCTAAGTCATATTTGGGACAAGGAAGTGATCCAAAACAGCCAGCAAGGCTTCTCCTAGGGCAAGTCTGAGCAATCTTTAATGATGGAGTGACTGAAACAGTCAGCAAGGTAAGACTGGCCAGTGTCATCTACCTAAACTTGTGTCAGGCCTTCCACATAGTCCACACAACATCCTTATCTCCAAATTGGAGAGATGGTGTTGTGGGTTGACCCTGGCTGGATACCAGGCACCCACCAAAGCCACTCTATCACTCTCCTCTACAGGAGGACAAGGGAGAGAAAAATATAACAATGGTTCATGAGTTGAGATAAGGACAGGAAGACATCTCTTAGCAAATACTCAGGCAAAACAGACTCAACTAAGGCATATTGATTGAATTTATTACCAACAAAATCAGAGGAGGATAATGAGAGGTAAAATAAGTCTTGTAAAAAAGCCCCAAAAAACCAAACATCTTCCCCCTACCTCCTCTTCCTTCCCAGCTTTACCTCCTCCTTCCCCCCAGCAGAGCAGGGAGACAGGAATGGGGCTTATGGTCAATTCATCACAGGTTGTTCCTGCTGCTGCTCAGGGAGAGGAGTGGGAATCCTTCCTCTGCTCCAGGGTGGGGTCACTCCTGTCCATTAACTTCTCCAAAATGAGTCCTCCCCACAGCCTCTGGTTCCCCACAAACTGCTACAATGTGGGTCACTCTTCCACAGAGTCAGTCCTTCAGGAACCCTTACAGGGTCACAATCATTCCAGCAAACCTTCTCCACATGGGCTCATCTCTCCACAGGTCCCTCCCAGGACTCTACTCCAGCACAGGCTTCCTCCAGGGTCATTGCCTTCTCTCAGACATCCTCCTGCTCTGGTGTCAGCTCCTCCAAGGGCTGCAGGTGCATCTCTGCACCCCCATGCCCTCTGTAGGCTGCAGGGGCACAGCTGCCTCACCGTGGGCTTCACCATGGGCTGCAGTGGAATCTCAGCTCTGGAGCCTGGAGCAGCTCCTGCTCCTCCTTCTCCACTGACTTTGGTGTCTGCAGAGCTGTTTTCTCTCATGTATTCTAACTCTGCTCTTCCCTGGCCACAACTACACCTGTGCAATAATTTTTTTCCTTCTTTTGTGTGTTATTCCTGAGGTGTCACTTCCACCTCTGATGGGCTCAGCCTTGGCCAGCTATGGGTCTTTCCTGGAGCCAGCTGGCTTTGGCTCTGCTGGACAGCAAAGAAGCTTCCAGCAACTTCTCACAGAAGCCCTGTAACCCTTCTGCTACCCAAAAAAGGCCATACAAACTCAATACACATGGATTTGAAGGGTGTACTGTTGTGAATATGAAAATGGCTGGATGGACACAGCTTTGGTCTGTGGCTCTATGACCACATGGAGTCAGGGCAAAGAGGGGCATGTCTCAAGGCTCTGTCTTGAGACTTTTTTGTATCTTTTTCAATCACAGGGATATTAGATCAAGTGTCCCCTTGGCATGTTTGCAGATGACACAAAGCTGAGCAGTACAGCTGACACTACAGGAGATTTCCATCCAGAGAGACCTGGAGAAACTTGAGAAGTGGGCCCATAAGAACCTGATGAAGTCTACGAAGTTCAAGTGCATGGTGCAGCACCTGCATCAGGAAATCCCAGACATGAGTTCAGATTGGGAGATGAACTCATTGAAAGCAGACCTGTGAAGAAGAACTTGGGGGTTCTGGTGGATGAAGATCTGGACATGAGCCAACAGTTTGCATTTGCAGCCCAGAAAGCCAGCTGCATCCTGGGCTGCATTACAGAAGGCATGACTGGCAGGTTGAGGGCAGTGATTCTCCTCATCTGCTCTGATCTTGTGACACCCCACCTGGGTTCAGACATGGAGTCTTCAGCACAAGAAAGATATGGACCTGTTAGAACAGATCTGAAGGAGGCCACAAAGATGCTCAGGGGGCTGAAGCAACTCTCCTATGAAGAGAGGCTGAGAGAGTTGGGGTTGTTCCACATGGAGAAGAAAAGGCTTTGAGGAAACCTCATTGAGGCCTGTCAGAATGTGAAGGGGGCTCACAAAAACATTGATGCTGACTTTTTACACAGGCACATACTTATAGTTCGAAGTGGAATGGTTTCCCTAAAAGAGGAAAGATGCAGATCAGATGTTAGGAACAAATTCCTTACTCAAATGGTGGTGAGGCAATGAAACTTCTCACAGAAGCTGTGGCTGCCACATCCCTGGAAGTATTCAAGGCCAGCCTGGCTGGGGCTTGGAACAACTTTATCTAGTGAGTGTCACTGCTTTTTTTTATGAAGAAGTTCAATCCAGACCAAGCCATTCTATGATTCTATGATTCTATGATTCTATGATTTTATGATTCTATGATTCTATAATTCTATGATTCTATGATTCTATGATTCTATGATTCTATGATTCTATGAGTGTTGCAGCTTCTTCCTGAAAACAACACTTCAAACAGTCCCAGAAGAGTGATCAGGATAGCATCACTTGCCTGGTCTGGGCCCATGCAGTACATAAACTGAGTCTTCTGCCTGCACTGCTGCATTCCTGCCTTAGAAATCCTGGGGCCTTTAATCCCAGGGATCAGAAGAAGCCTTCATTGGGGAACGAGCATGGAACAAACCTGGAAATGAAAAGGCAGCAATGCAGGAAATAAAAACACAGCCCATATCATTAGGTGTGCTGGTTTGCATTCAAGATGAGCTTGCTGGGAAATTGTTACCTCTGCAAAGACTGCCCCTGGTCCTGTGGCAGTGAAGGGCAGGTATAAAAGGCAGCCCAAGTCTCTGCTCTCTCATCCACTTCTCTTGCTTCCTTCAGCTTGGGAACCAGGTGAGTCTGAAGCCCTTTCTCTTTCTCTTCCAAAGTGAGATCTCCACATGGTGGACATCTCAAATTGGCTTCCTCATGTCTGGGGATTGGAGCATTTGGTCATGAGAGGGGAAAGCGGGGAGGAGGCTGGCATAGAGAGAGGCTGGTGACAGTGGTGCCTTTTGGTTTATGAGCTGGGAGAGAACTTCCTGAGTCAGGCTGCTCTTTGCAGGGCTCCTGGCCCAGTCTCCAGCTTCCCACTCATGATGGTCTTGGCTCTTTTGTGATGGGATAACCCACCCAGCCTTGTGCTCTGTTTTCTCTCTGCTCTCTTTTCCAGGTGCACCTGTGGCCTCAAGTCATGTCCTGCAACACCCAGTGCCGTCCCTGCCAGCCCTGTGGTCCCACCCCGCTGGCCAACAGCTGCAATGAGTGCTGTGTCAGGCAGTGCCAGAGCTCCACCGTTGTGATTGAGCCGCCTGCTGTGGTGGTGACCCTGCCCGGCCCCATCCTCAGCTCCTTCCCACAGAACACCGTGGTGGGATCGTCTACCTCGGCTGCTGTTGGCAACATCCTCAGCTCTGACGGAGTGCCCATCAACTCTGGGGGCTTTGACATCTCCTGCATCACCAGGCGCTATGGTGGCAACAGATGTCGTCCTTGCTAAAGATGCTCGGAAAGCCCCAACAAGACATCTTGAGGAACTCATAACATGGCATTGGGCAGAGGATCTAGGTTTTGGGTGCTGTTTGCAGGATAGCTGACCGAACTTGCCTTTCTCTCCCTTTTCATTTTTTGCATTGGTTCCTATGTGCTGCAATGTTCCCCAAAGGCCAGCTTGGTAGGGACCATTTGGTTTCTCCCCTTTGTGGGACAGGTAGACTGACATTATGCAGGAACTACTCCAGAGCCAAGGAGTGCAGACTCTCTGCTGCCCTTGGTGCTGCCTGTGCTGCTGGCCTCTGCTTTCAGTGGCTTTGTTTCCTTCTTTCATTTCATTAAAGTTCTGCTGCATTCAATTCTGTGTCTCTGTGGTTCTTCCTTTGGTTGCTCTTCTGAATGCCAAAGCAGAAAGGTGTTGTTTAGTCATGGAAGTCAGTGAGGGCATAAGGAGACCCTTCTCCATTCACAGAGGAATGGAATTTTGGGGCTTCATGGAGGGGAAACTATTAAGGGTAAAATCTCTTGGAGCTCAGGAAGACATCCTCTGGCTGCTCTGCTTCCAGACACCATCAAGCCTCGTGTTGACGTGTCTTTGCCCACAAATGCCTAGGAAGTTGGGAGACCTTGAAGCAATAGTAGCCCCATGATCTCCTGAGGGTGTTCTTGTTAGTATGATCAGAGCTCCAGTGGGGTTGTTGGTGAGAGGGTCCTGGACATAATTTCCCCTGCAGAATAACGGGAGTTGGAATGCAGTGAACAACCTTTGCATTTGACCATGGTTTCTACTCCATCTTCCTCTCCCCTTCATGACTCAAAAAAAGTGAGGACAAATACCCGTTGACCACTTTCTTTTCCCAAATCCATGGTCCTTTAGATCAGAACATGTTGAACCTGAGGTCTCAGCCTCTGCCTGGCACAGCACCAGGCTGATGGACTGCACTGGCACATTTGGCATTGGCTTGAACAGGAGGCAGAGATGCATCTCACACCAGACAGCACTGACACTGCAGTGCAAGGAAACTCACTTGAGCATAGCCTGGACGAAGCTGGCAGGACTTGTTAGCCTTTCTGCTGTCCATAAAGTAAGCCTCATCCTTTTGAAATCCCTAGATCTTGCGAGAGCTGTGTCCTGACCTGGAGAAGCAGGGAATGAGGACTGCAAGCCATGTTTAGACATTCCTAATATTGTTTACAGTGAATTAAACTAAGAATCCAAACTGGTATGAAATCATCGTAATTTGGTCCAGGAATCATCAGCAGCAGAGTGTGAGCTTTGAAGCAGTAGGAGAAGGAGGATTGAAGGTAGAGAAGACTGCATTTCAGTGCCTGTGGTGAGGATAATTCTTTGCCAGGTTTGTTCTGTTATTGCTCAGCTACACACAAGTTCCTTTAGACTCTGGGTGCTCTGTGGAGCTTATTGGCAGAGCAGTGGAGCATGTTAATGCCATAAGTAGAGCAATCTCTCATGAGGAGGGATGGACATACACACACTTAAGCATGTCAGAAAGGAATCATGCACAAATTTTTGCACCTATGTACATTCAGACAGTCCCAGCTGCACACAAGTGCACATGAGACAAGAACATGCAAAGTCACAGCCAGCACAGCTTCATGAGAGGGAACACCTGCTTGTCAGATCTGATTTCCTTTTATGACAAGGTAACTCACCTGTTTATCAAGGGAAGGCAGTTGATATAATCTTTTTGGACTGCAGTGAAGCTTTTGATACTGTTGATACTGTTTTGATACTCCGCCAGGATCCTTCTGGACAAAATGTCTGGCCCACACCTGGATAAACACCTCATGTGATGGGTGAGCAACTGGCTCATGGGTCAGGCACAAAGCATGACGGTGACTGGGGTGACATCAGACTGGTGACCTGTTACTGTTGGGGCTCTGTAGTGCTTCATTTTTAGCCCAGTGCTCTTCATCATCTACATAAATGACAGGAATGCAGGACTGGAAGGGAAACTAAGCAAGTTCATGTATGATACAAAACAAGGAGGAGCTGTCAACTCCCTCAAAAGTAGGGACACCCTGCAGAGAGACTTGAACAAATTAGAGGGCTGGGCAATCCCAACCATATGTTTCACAAGGACAAGTGCCAGATTCTCCATCTGGAATGGGGCAACCCTGGAGGTACTTGGGGACCAAGAGGCTGAAAAGCAGTGTCATGGAAAGGGATCTGGGGCTCCTGCTTGATGGCAAGTTGGATATGAGCCAGCAGCCCTGGCAGCCAGGAGGCCCAATAGTGTCCTGGGGAGCATCAGGTCCAGCATTGCCAGCTGAGAAAAGGAGGGGATTGTCCCACTCTGCTCAGCACTGGAGTGGACTCACCCTAAGTTCAGTTGTGGGCAACACAATTTAGAAGGAGACATTAAGCTATTGGAGTGCGTTCAAAGGAGGCCACAAGGATTGGGAAGGGCCTTGAGGGAAAGCTTTATGAGGAGCATCTGAGGTCACTTGGTCTGTTCAGCATGGGGAGGAAGAGATTGAGGTCAGACCTCATTTCAGTCTACCATTTCCTTGGGAGGGGAAGAGGATGGGAAGGCACTCATCTCTGCTCTGTGGTGACGGGACTAAAAAGAATAGTCTGAAGTTATGTCAGAAGAAGTTTTGGTTGGATATCAGAAAAACATTCTTTGTCCAGAGGGTGGTCAGGTACTGGACTAGGTTCCCCAGGGCAGTGGGCACAGCATGAAGCCTGACAGAGTTCAACAAAAATTTAAACATTTTCAGGCACACAGGCTGACTCTTGGCAGTGTCCTGTGCAAGGCTACGAGTTGGACTTGATGATCTTGTGGGTCCCTTCCAACTCAGCATATTCCATGATTCTGTGAAAGAATGAACCATGGCCTCTGCTGTGGACATGTGGTGATGATGGAGCCTTCAGGAGAGGAACCAGGCCCAGACATGGGCTGCTTCTCTCTAGAAGAGAAGGAGGAGCAGAATTTTTCTGGGTTCATTGTTAGGCAGGACAGCACAAAATCCAGGAGCTGAGTCATTCCTTCCAAACAGGGCCACCGAAGATCCCCACAGCCGTGATCCAGACTGACAATTTGCTTTGACTACACTCGGCCAAGCTGATGTGTTTTGATCCAGAATTGCTTGAACCTCTCATCTTGACAAGCAAAAAACCCCAAAAAAACAACCAAACAAAAAAACCCAAAAAAAGTGTTCATTGGAGAAATGTGCCTGAAATAAAAATAAAACAGGACATAAAAACACAGCCATTCAGGAAGCCAAGCCACAGCCCATAGCATTAAATGGTATGGTTTGCATTTCAAATGCAATATTTTGCATTCAAGATGAGTCTGACAGAAAATAACTCTGGGCAGCGGCTGCATAGGAGCTGGTAGCTCTTTTGGACCCTGGCAGGATAAGGCCAAGGAGCCCTCACACACCTCTGCAGAGCCTCCACCTCCTGGCCCTGCATGTAATTTGGCTCACTCCTGATGTGGTGCTTCTCATTTATCCTGATATTTTTTTTCCTCCTTCCAAGTGCTGCTTGTGCCCCAAGACATGTCCTGTGTACAGCAGTGCCAGCCTTGCAGCCCCACCCCACTGGCCAACAGCTGCAATGAGTGATAGGGTTTTGAGAAAAGCTCAGGGAACTACATGAAGACCTTTTATTAAGATAGAAAACAAGCAGAAACCCCCCCAGACCTTTTTCACAGGATCCAACTACGAGGCTTGGGTGAGTCTCTGATTGATTCCTGCCAGCCCTTGGTGCTGTGCAGAGCACACAGAGAGGAGAATGGACAAGTGTTCCCTGCACAGCACATGAGAAATACTTTCCTGCCCTGGGATGCACAGGGAAACCTGTTCCAAAGCAGGGTTTTTTTCACCACCCCTTCTTTCTTCTCAAGCCGCTGACATAAAGGCCTGAAGGTCTCTGGGTGCACCAGGGAAATTGTCCTCCAAGAGAAGAGCTCACTTTTCCCCAAGATTATCCCTGCACAGACACCTCCCCTCTGTCCCTCCCCTGGGTTGTTGCACAGCCGGGGACGCTCCCTGCACCGGGGTGTCTGTCACAGCACAGAGGTACAAGGCAGTGTCGGAGAGCTGCACTTCCTCCACCTTCAGGACACTGTATTTCCCCGTGGTGTTCAGGTGCGTGGTGATCCGGCCGCTGTGCTTGGGGCCAGAGCCTGCTTGATAGGAGAGCAGCTGTGGGGCTTGGGGGAAAAGCTCTGAGATACTAAACAAGGGGATGCAAAGTAGCAGCAGAAAAGGCTCCCTTGTTGTGGAGGCCAGGGAACCGGCCAATTCAGAGATCCTGGCTCTCCCTTGGAGGGATTCTCCCTAGGTGAGGCACTTTGCTCTCAGAGAGAGAAAAGTGTCACTCACAGGGGTCCTTGAGTTATGTTAATATGTTACACCCCATTGGTTTCCCTCCCTATCAATCCACCCTGATACATGTATCCAAGTTTCCCCCTCCCCTCTCCTTACCTATAAATACCCTGGTTTTTTTCCCCAGTTCCAGGAGCTGATGTCAGTGGCTCCCTTCACTGAGGGCCTTGCTTTAATAAAGGCTACTTCTCAGTGGAATGCCATACAGAGCTCAAGTCTCTCTTCCTGCATTGCCTGCTGACCGCCGCTGAGCAGAGACCACTCGCTGGGCTGAGGATGTACCAGTGCTCCTGAGCGGTCCTTTTGGACGGCTTCTTCAGGGTTGTCGCGGCACCCCTGCCATCAACACCGCCACAACACCTTTTTGTTTCTTGTTCTGTGCTACAGCCACATTTATGGGAACAGCAAGGGTGGGGGATGTTTGGGCAACAGGTTTGAGACCTCAGCTCAGCAGGTGTCCCACAGCAAAATAATGCCATTTACCTCCCATAGGGAACCCCAGAGAGAATCAGATCTTCCATATCTAATATCATGTTGCCCAGAGTCTCCAGGGAACAGCCTGTAGTCCCTGGTCCTTCTGTGCTGCCTCCAGGACACCTGGAGGGACCTGTGCAATGTTTAATCCTGCTCCTCGTTTCTTGTCCTTTTGGAAGTCTCCAAGGTTTAGGGAGAGAAAAAAAGCAAGCCCTGGCACTGCAAACATGCAGGAGGAGTGGATAGTCAGGGCATGCTGCACAACACACGCCAGCTAGAGGAGAGACTGGGACACCCTAAGAATGAGTGGGATGAGAGACTTTTGTGTCCCTGCATCAACTATCAAAGGTCCTGTCTGTTTGGGTGGAAAGGTAAGAAAATGTTTACCTCAGAGAGAGAAAGAACTTCTGCAATACTTTTTCTTCTGTGAAAGACTAGGCTGAGACAGATCAGAAGGAAGAGGCAGAAGTGATGGAGGATTGGAGGAAGAAAAATGAGCAAGGATTCTGAGATGATGAGGAGAAGAGATAGTTTTCCTCTCACTCACTATTTTTAAATTTTCAAGCAGTAACAGCATCTAGACAAAACAGACAAAACCCAACACATTAACTAATATTTCCCATAATTTGACCATAATTCAAGATATAATTCAATACTTCGATCAGGTAGACATTGATGGACAGGTTATATCCATCCATACATGGGAGAAACGCTGTGATTTAATACTGAAGCTATAAGTCATTTGCAGAAACTCAACAAAAGTAATTTACCAGACTGTATCCTGAGTATATGACTGGCACCAATCCTAACTTGTGAATTCCCTCAGCTCTACATGTCTGGAAAGCTTTGCCTGCTTGTATTGAGGGAGTGCATCAGATCTGCTTGTGCTCTTGTGGGAGCCATGGACCCCAGACTAGGTAAAGGAGTGGAAGAGAAGAAGAGATAAAGCTGTGGACTAGATGAAGGAATTCTTGTTTTCCTTCACAGCTATTGATGTCTCCCTCATGGCCTTTAGCTGCTGAATAGTTAGGGGTAACTTTGTCCCCTCCAAGGAAAAGGGCAGGAATAAAAATCCATTGCAGGGAATCCCATTCTTTGCTTCCTCCACCAATTTTCCATGAGTGGACTGGAAGATTTGCTTGAGAAAAAGGAGGACTTCGAGGCCCAGGCTTGGATGCGAAACAACTTTATTGAGTGTAAAGAAAAAAAGAAGGTGGCTCACAGAAAGTATCAGGTGCTGCCACTAAGACACAGTGGAGCTCCTGCAGAGCGTGCATCTGCTTGCCCAAAAGAGTGACGAAGGGTCATGTGTCTCCAATAGACTGGCTTAAGGAGACATAGACAGCAAAGAAGAGGAAAAAAAGAGTGCAAGAAGGGAACAATGGCCTGATGCTATAGAGGCAATGTCCAGAAGCTCTATCTCCTGCCCAGAACTACATCCTGAGGTATTGGAAATTCTTGCCTGAGGATGTTGCCAGAAGCAGATTTAGCAGGGACGACATCTGTTGCCACCGTAGCAGTTGGTGATGCAGGAGATGTCAAAGCCCCCAGAGCTGATGGGCACTCCACCACAGCTGAGGATGTTGCCAACGGCAGCAGAGGTGGAGGATCCCACGGCGGTGTTCTGTGGGAAGGAGCTGAGGATGGGGCCGGGCAGGGTCACCAGCACAGCAGGCGGCTCAATGACGACATGGGAGCTCTGGCACTGCCTGACACAGCACTCATTGCAGCTGCTGGCCAGCGGGCAGGGGCCGCAGGGCTGGCAGCAAGGGTCACAGGGCTTGCAGCAGGACATGGCTCGGGGTCACAGGTGCACCTGGCGCAGAGGGCAGGCAGAAGAAGAAAGTGGGGACACATGAGGAGCAGCACTGCACCCAAACACCCTGCAGCCAAGGCTGCCTACAGTGCAGTGCCCAGCTCAAAGCCCAGGAGCCCCTCTCATCCAAGTGCCAGCCTCTCTCTGTCTGCACGAGACCTTGTCTCCCCTGCCCTCTCCCAGCAGAAGCAGCTCCCAGCCCTGTGCTACAAGAGCCCCTCTTAGTTGAGACCTACAGCCAGGAAAGGACTGCTCTTGAAGCAGCAGGAGCAGGAGCAAGATCTTCCCACTCACCTGAGGATTCCTGAGGAGAAGGAGGTGAGAGAAGTGGATGAGAGAGCAGAGACTTGGGCTGCCTTTTATAGCAATCCTGCCCTGCCTCAGGCCCAGAGGCAGCTTTGTGGAAGTCATAATTTTCTGACCAGCTCATGTCAAATGCGAACTATCCCAGCTAATGGTAGGGGCTGTGTCCTGGTTTCCTGCTCCACTGCCTTTTCATTTCCTGGCTTCTCCCACATGCTTTCCTATATGAAGATCTCATTCTGTAACTGCTGGGATGAGAGGCTCAAGGATTTCTGTGGCAGAAGTCTCAGATCAAGGGCTGTTGGCATTCCTTGTGCATGGGTGATGTTCGCTTGGGTAATTTCTGAGCGGTTTGTTTTTGTCCAGGTTGTCAGGAAATGGTCATCCCCTTTGTGCTTCTTGCCCACACACCCAAGGACAGCCACGTGAGGGGACATGACAGCGCTTCTTCCACCCTGCCCTTTCTTACCACCTGTTCTCTGTGTCTCCCCAGGCCAGTCTTGGGATATTTTGCTCTCTCTCCCTCTGTATGGCAGGCAGATGGACACCCTACAGGAGCTCCACTGCATCTTAGTGACTGCCCCTGGTGTTCTCCTTTTCTTCCTTAGACTCATTAAAGTTGTGCTTTCATGCCTTGGCCTCCAAGTTCTCCTTTTTTTTTCTGTGGCAACTCTTCAAATCTTCTCACGTACAAAGTTAAGAATGGCAGAGGGTGGGAGTCCCAGCAGTGGATTTTCCTCCGTGCACTTTCTCTTGGAGCTAATGAAGACATCCTTGGCTACTGCACAGAGGCCACCAGTGAAACCACAAGTTCAAAGAGTGGCAGCAGTGGGGATGTGAGACAGAAATTCCTTTGCCTTCCACCTTGAGCAATGCTCTAATCCATGTGACCCCCTGGATATCCATGGCCTCTTGCATGCAGAAAAGAAACTCTGCAAGGCACTGCGGGGCTCAGAAAAACAACTCAGGTACAGCGTGTCCCATGAAGCCTATGAGGTTCCACACATGCTCCTCCCCTCAGTTCAAGACAGAGACATGGTCTTTCTCCATCTTACTGGCCCCTGTGCACATCTTGCTATGTACAGAAACCAAGGCTTCACCTTGCTCATGCTGAGACCCAAGCACTGGTCTCAGTTGCCAGTTGACTCAAATAATCTCCAGGTCCTCTTTACTCAGTGTGTGACCCTCATGAACAGACCCTCCATGTTGATCCTTGCATTGAAAAACCCTCAGTGCTCTTGGTAGATCCCATTTAATCACTTAAATACTCTGATAAAGTCCTCCCCAAGAGTCCTGCTCTCCAGGGAGAAAAGGCTACATTCCTTCAGTCTTTCCTCATAGCAAAGGTTCTCCAACTCTTTGATTTTCTTTGGCACACACAATGGGATGGGAGCAGCTGCTGGATCAGGATCAGCAGAGACCATGTGAGGGATTGAGTGATGGCTTTCCTGGGTGCAGGTGGGCCAGTCAGCAGAACCACCTGGGTGAAGACAACCACAAACCAAATTTACATACGACCAGGGCTTGCAGGAGGCGATGGTTTTCCTGGTGACAAGGAAAGTCTCCATCAGCTTTGATGCAGCAGTGGAGGAGTGACAGATCTTCAAAAAAGAAACATGATGAGGAAGAACGAATGCAGTAAGGTCTGCAGGTACTATTGCTCCATGCAGGGAGAATGAGAAGGCCATTCTTCACCAGGCTTAGAAGATACATGGAGAAGAAAAAGTTCATGGTATGTGTGGTGTTTCCTGGTTGCACTGACCTTTTGATTGTCTCATTATTATGAGATGTCTAGTTCAAATGCCCAAACCTCCTGATAGCTGCACAGTAACAGAATCATGAAAATGCCTTCAAGATCATCAAGTCCAACCATAAACATAACACTGCCCACTCAACCACTAACCCATGTTCCTATGTGCCACATCTACACTCCTCCAGGAGCAGTGACTCAACCACCTCCCTCAACAGTGTGTTCCAATGCTTGCTAATCCTTTCAGGGAAGACTTTTTCCCTAATATCCAATCTAAACCTTCCCTGGTGCAACTTGAGGCCAAATTCCCCTGTCCTATCACTTGTTACTTGGGAACAGAGACTGACACACAGCCTCCTTCCAGGTAGTGTTAGAGCAATAAACTTTCCCCTTGGCCTCCTTTTCTCCAGACAAAATAAATCCAGTTCTCTCTATAAGGTAGATCATAGGTAGAGGTTTTATCACATGTCATTGGGAAGAGAACAGTGATTGAGATCTGCCATGGTTTGTGCCCAAGGGAGCTAATGTTAAAGTGGGACACTAACTGAACTGAGCATTCCTCCACAGCAATTAATTCATTCATGAAAACATGAAATTAATTTACCATATTGTCAAGTTAAGCTGTTGCTTTGTCTTCAGGGAAGCAAGCCTGATGTAGGAAGGGATGGAAATCTGTCCCTTCTGTGTTTGACAAATTCCTGAGGCAAGGCTGGGTCACCTTTACAGACAGCAGAGATGATCCATAGAGAGCATAAGGACCTTGGTGGACTTTGAGACCTGGGCCTACGCAAAACTCATGGAGTACAAGAAGATTGTGTGAAAGGTTCTGCATCTGGATTCAGGGCAGGGCCAAGGAAAAATACAGCATGGTATTTAGAGAGATGTACCCTGAGGAGAAGGACCCTGGCTTTTGGTGCAGAAGAAGCATCACATGACCAGGAAATGTGTGTTTGCAGCCCAAAAAACTGTGTTTGCAGCCAAAAGAAATAAATTTGACCAGCAGGCTGAGGGAAGCTATAGTTCCTCTCATGAGACCCCACCTGAAGTACTGCTTCCAGCTTGAGGACCCCCAATATAAAAGGCCTATAGGAAGGGTATGGAGCTGCTGGAAAAGGTCCATAAGAGGCCTGCTAAGATGATGAGAGAGCCATAACACCTCTGCTACAAAGACAGGTTCAGAGAGTTGGGGTTGTTCATCCCAGAAAAGAAAAGACTGGAGAGATTTTATAGCTCCTTCCAGTACCTAAAGAAAGCTAGGGGGCTCCTTTATGGAAGTATGTAGTGATAAGATAAAGGGGAATGGCTTTAAACTGAAAAAAAATAGTTTAAAATTAAATATTAGGAAGAATTTATTTACTGTGATGGTGGTGAGGCTCTGGAAGAGGTTATCCAGAGAAGCTGTGGCTGCCCCTTCCCTGAAAGGAAACGGTCATGTTAGACAGAATTTGAATCAACCCGGTCTAGTAGAAGGTGACTCTGTCCATAGCAGGGTGTTGGAACTAAGCTGTATTTAAGGTCCTTTCAAACACAAAGCATTTTATGAAAATATTTTATCTTATCACAGCTGAAATGGGAAGTGTAATGTCATCCCGGGGTTCAGGAGAGTATCAAATGTATGGTGAATGTTCTCTCATCACATTCTTATTTTTCCTGAAGCAATAACCCCAGTCTCCCACAGGAAAGGGGTCACTGTAGCATGCCGCTCCTCTGAGCTCCCACCTCTCCTGTAGCCTGGAGGTCATGGGGAACAGCCTTTGGTGCTTGAACCGCAGAAATTTGGAACTACAAAGACAGTTGACATTTTCTGCACTGTCTTTTCTGGAAAACATGAAGAGTGTTTGGTCTGGGAGAGAGGGGCAGTGAGGGATGGAAGGCTGGGAAAAGAAAAACTGTAAACCTGACACTTGACAACCTGTAAAACTGACTACCTGGTTTCCAGGACTAACTGATATCACCGCCCATTGTCCTCTGAGGGCAAAAACAGTGGGAGAATGAGGATGTTCCTGCTGAAACAGATAGGAAGCAGAAGACAACTTTGAATTTTCTCAAGAAAAATGGTATTACTAGTCGTGCTTAGAGATTTAAAAGAAATACTCTAAAAATAGAGACATCCAATGTCCTTGGTAGGTATCTCAGAAAATTAAACACACGGAGGTTATTATGGTGATTTCCTTAATGTTAGCATCATCAGATGATGTCTGGATGAGGTCCCACAACAACAACCAGGGTTCAACAAATTCTAGCAATCACCATGTGTGCTCACAGAGATGAGACAGATCCCAGGTCAAGTTGGGAAGTTACATGCGTATCAAAGTCCAGATTCAGTGCAATGGGGTCCTGGTCAGATACAGGCACAGATGTGTCACAGCTAGAGATCTAACTCAGATTACAAGCACGAGGACCTCATCTTGAAAGCTGCCCCAATAGGAAGAGGAGGTGGTTCTGGCTGAAGCCTCCCAGCAGAACTGCCTGGCAGATTCCAGCAAGGCCATCAGAGGGAAGGGAGAAGCACTCAGCTATGCAACTCTTATGATGGCTTGGTCCAGCTGTCCTACATACCTCAGCAGAGCAACACCTGAACGTAGGTCAGGTCCAAGACCCATTTGCTGGGAGGTCTCAGCACTGCCTCACTCAGCACTGGGCTGCTGAACTATAGAAGTGCATCAGGCACTGGCCTGG